ATGCACTTTTTAACAATCCAAGTCGATGAAAAAAAAAGTCCCCACAAAAATCACGTTTCCCCTTCCCATCATTTTCCCCGCTATTGTTTGTTTTTCTTCTGGAATAAGAATACCACCATGTAGGGCTGGGCAATGAGTCGCTTTAACAAAATTCGGATAAAATGTAAGTGCCCCTCTTCTGTGAATAATATTATGTCTTGAGCCGCTTCGGCAAATGGGTAAGAACCACTTTGACAAACGGGTTAGCACCACTTCAACAAATGGGTGCACCCACTTCGCCAGACGGTCGAGAAAGAGAGTTAAGAGTCTGAATTCGGATATTGTCTTATTGAGGATTATCCGATTATCCGAATATTTATCCGGATGTTTCCCACCTCTACCACCATGTCACCATCCTTGATGCTTTCGTATAGCCTCCCCCACAGACACACACCACCACTAACAACGTGAGATATTGTGTCAAGACAAAATACATGTACGTGAATGGGCCAACTGTTCCACGTTACTCGAAAAGTTCGTTGATCTCTCTGTCTAACTATCTATCGATATATCCATCTATCCATCTGTCTGTCTGTCTATCTATCTATCCGTCTATCCATCTGTCCATCTATCTATCTATCTATCTATCTATTTATATATATATATATATATATATATATATATATATATATATATATATATATATATATATATATATATAATATCCATCTATCCATCTATCTGTCTATCTATATATATCCGTCTATCTATCGGTCTGTCTATCTGTCTATCTATCTATCTATCTATCTATCTGTCTATCTGTCTGTCTATCTGTTTGTCTGTCTATCTATCTATCTATCTATCTATCTATCTATCTATCTATCTATCTATCTATCTCTCTCTCTCTCTCTCTATATATATATATATATATATATATATATATCTACCTATCTACCTATCTATCTGTCTGTCTATCTGTGTATCTATCTATCTATCTACATGTATCTATCTATCTATCCATCTATCTATCTAACTATTTGTCCATCTATCCGACTATCTATTTATCTATCTATCTATCTATCTATCTATCTATCTATCTATCTATCTATCTATCTATCTATCTATTTATCTATCTATCTATATATATACACATATATATATATATATATATATATATATATATTTATATATATATATTTATATATATATATTTATATATATATATCTGTGCCCTATCACCAACACACCACCAACAGCGTGAGACAATGTCAGGACAAACATGAATGGGCCAACTGTTTCACATTACGCGAAAAGTCCCTTGATTTCTGTCTCTCTGTGTCAGTCTTTTTGTGTCTGTCTGTCTGTCTGTCTGTCTGTCTGTCTGTCTGTCTGTCTGTCTGTCTCTCTCTCTCTCTCTTTCTCTCTCTCTCTATCTATCTATCTATCTATCTATCTATCTATCTATCTATCTATCTATCTATCTATACCCTATCACCAACACACCACCCACCAACAGCGTGAGATATTGTCAAGACAAACTTTTACGTGGATGGGCCAACTGTTGCACATGACGCGAAACATTCCTTGATCTCTCTGTCTCTGTCTCTTTCTTCGTCTCTCTGTCTCTGTCTCTCTGTCTCTTTGTCTCCCTGTCTCTCTGTCTCTACCCCCGGGGCAGTGCCACTGACTGAAGTGTCTTTAGGCCATTCCCAAAAGGGGGGGGGGGGGACATTTCTCGTTCAAGCATAGTAGAATTGTAAATGGGCTGACACATGTCACGCTCATAACTGTGCCTGATCTACAACAGGGAACTGCTGCTATTTCTTTCCTGATCCTTATTATTGTCATTATCCTCTCCTTTTTGTATGTTTGTCACGCTCTTGTGACCTGCTATTTTGGGGTGCTTTGATAGTCGAAGCAGACCTTGTGCTGTTGAAGCTAGAGAGGTGAGCAGTCTAAGTCTGATTTCCTGTAAAGACTTCTCTGTTGACACCCACCCCTTGGCGCTCATATGACCTCTACCAAAAAAAAATATCTCTGTCGCTCTGTCTATCTATCTATCTATCTATCTATCTATCTATCCATCTATCTATCTATCTATCTATCTATCTATCTATCTATCTATCTATCTATCTATCTATTTTTGATAAACAGTCTATCGTACCACAGACACACCACCAACGTGAGATATTGTTAGGACAAACGTGAATGAGCCAACTGTTCCACATTACGCGAAAAGTTCGTTGATCTCTCAGTCTCTT